CTTGGGTCCTGATCAAAACAGACAACCAAGCGGTTGCTTCATAAGTGAACAATCAAGGAGGCACAAGGAATACGTTGCTTTTAAAATCATTTGGAACCCCTGATGCAGGTGGCCATGAATGGTCTTCAAGGTCTAAAGGCAATCTGTCTTCCAGGCTTGCAAAATGTAACTGCGGACTTCCTGAGTAGAACAGAAATTCTTCCGGGAGAATGGATGCCTTATCCAGCAGTTTTTTCATGGATTACCCATCGATGGGGCATGCCTCAGATCGACCTAATGGAGATATCTCAGAGGTGTCGGGTAAAGTAATACTACTCTCTCCGACTGGTCAGTCGGGCGATGGGCCAGGATGCTCTCTCTCTTCCTTGGTCATTCGATATGGGATATGCGTTCCCTCCCCTGCGCATGATACCCTGATTTCTGCAAAACGTTTGGACAGAAGGCAAGAAAGTAATTGCCATTATTCAAGTTTGGCTGAAGAGGCCATGGTTTCCCCTCTTATCCAAGATGAGTCAGGAACGGCCTGTGCTTTCTCCAATAATGAAGGATCTGCTGAGCCAGGGTCCAATTTTCCATCCTCCTCCAGAACAACTCAAGCTGGGCCTATGGATCTTGAAAAGGACAGACTGTGGCATCTAAGCCTCTCTTAAGCAGTGCTTAATACCCTTTTACAGTCTAGGAGGAGTTTTAATTCTTCGTGCTACCATAGAATCTGGGATACATTCAGAGACTGGGCATCCGCCAAGAGCAATGACTTCTTGCAACCTTGTAATACTCAGATCCTGGACTTCCTTCAGGAAGGTCTGGACAAAGGCCTTAGCCTCAGCACTCTTAAAGTTTAGTCTTCTGCTCTATCAGCATTGTGCAATGTCTCATGGGTTTGGATCTTTTGATCTCAAGATTCTTAAGGACAGCTTTCAGATTGAGACCTCCTACCAGATCTAGTACCCTTCCTTGGGACCTTCCTCTTGTTCTGAACTACCTGACTGATGATCTGTTCGTTCCTCTGGAAAATTTGGACACTACCCTTCTGACTTATAAGACCCTGTTCTTAGTGGCAATTACTTATGCAAGAAGAATTTCACAGATTAAAGCTTTTTCTACCATGGCCTCCTGTCTACATGTCTGTCAGGATAGGGTGTGTCTGAAACCGAAACCTGAGTTTTTTACAAAAGTGGTTTCTCAATTTCATCTTTCTCAAGAAGTGGTCCTTCCATCGTTTTATCCTAACCCAACTTCTGATGAAGAAGTTAGGTAGCAACGTTTGGATGCTAAGAACCATTTGTCTCAATACCTTCTTTATTCAGAGTCCTACAGGAAAACTGACCAACGCTTCATTCTATCTTCGGGAGCTAGAAGAGGTGAGGCAACTTCCATATCTATGTTAAAATGTTGGATTTAATTTATAATCAGGAAAGCTTATGTCTCCGGAGGTCAGTCTCCTCCAGTTAAGATAAGGACACATTCTACCAGAGCATTGTCTACTTCATGGGCTAACTGGGCAGAGGTTCCATACGATGATATTTGCAGAGAAGTCACCTGGTCTTCTCTGATGACAGTCATTAAACACTACAAACTGGATGTAGCCCCCTCTTCCACATCCTTTGGGAAGAGTGTTCTGTCTACAGTGTCATTATCCTGCTAATATTTAATTACTTTGCAGCATGCGTATCTGTATACTGTCTTTTCGTTTTTTATTTCCACACTAATTTCTGATAGCTTGGGTATTACCCATAAGTGATGCTGCCACGATTAGCCAGGAATAGAGAAAATGTATGACCAACTTACCGTAAATTTCATTTCCTGGCTATTTCTCATGGCAGCATCAGGGTTCCCGCCCATTCTTTTAATTTTCAGCTTTATAATTGGACTGTTGTGTAAGGGGAGGAGGGACTCTTTATGCCTATCAGTCTAATTAATTAATCTAATTAATTCCTGTCCTGTGACTGCTAAGGGAGGAGCTACCCATAGGTGATGCTGCCATGAGAAATAGCCAGGAAAAGAATATTACGGTAAGTTGGTAATAAATGCTCTCTATTTTAATGCAACAAAAGAAACCACTGACGCTATATGTACTCTCTTTTGCTTCTTTTTTTTTTTACAATACAGGTGTTTTTCTATATATATGTTTACATGTTTCATGCAGTTAATCTGCCAATTTCTCTGATTATATATATTTATTTATATTTTAATTTGCACAGTATTGCACATTATTCATTTGTTTTTGTTCTCTTCCAGTGTTGGGGAGATTTAGATTGTCTAGACATGATGCTGTGGAGACACAATGGTTTCAGGGATAACCTTGTAACTAAGAGACCACTTTATGCTGCGTGAAAAGCAGTCCCAAGATGTCTATTATGTCACATTCTTTATGTATTTAGTGATTCACTCACGTTCCTGAGAACTTAGGCTATCATATTAAAGAGAGGTCTAGACCACCTAAGTGCCTGTGCTTTGGTTCAATCTACCCTAAGAGAATTAAAGAAACAGTGCGGCCTAGCACCCCATTCAAAAGCACTGAGCAAGTCTCACTGCATATTAGCCTTTCCATACCTATCTGCCGTGAGTGCTGTCACTCACAATCTTGTGCAAAACCACATGTAGAGGCCAACACTTAATTGTAAAGTTATGAATTCGGGTGAAGAGACACAGGTTCCTACTTAAAGAATAGAAGCACTATAATTGGTGCAGACAAGCATATAGACAAGAATTTTATCACATATATCTTTTCTTCTTTACTCCCTATATCTGTATCCTCTCTTTTTCTTTCTTATTATTTCTTGCTGCCCTTATAAATGTGTTATACTATATTGTTTTTCTTTTTCTGTTATCCCCATATTTGTATGAACATTTGTTGATTAATAGAATTAATAGAGTCAGTGTGACTTGGTACCTGTTGCTACTGGGAGTGAAGAGCTTCCCGACTAGTTCTCCTAAATACACAGGGTATGCCTGATAAAAACACTCAAAAGAGTAAATAAACAAAGTACAAAATACAGTACCACACTGTGTGTACGTGAGCAGAATTACTGTGACATTCTCCTTTCAGTGTTTCAGAATTAATGAAATTAACAAATGTGTCCCGTGGTGGTCTATGACAGCACAGGTTGGGCACTCGCTGAAAGAAACCTTGGTCGGAAATAATAGGTTCAGATGTATTAAGGATAATAAATAATTTTTGTAGGAAAATAGAATGAAAGACATTGAATGGGAAAAATGGGCAGTGTTGAAGAGAAATTGTGCAGTTTTCACAATTCATAATTGGACCACAAATCGTTAAATGTCCTGGATAGAGACAGGTAAAGGGTCACTGAATTATTTATATTCCTGTCCATTGGTTTTTGCGTTCTGGTTATGTATTTCTCCACCTCACATAAATACTTGAATAAAATCATTACAACGAAGGGTGTCATTCACTAGTCAGCATGTTCTGACTTGAGAGAGAACCTTAGGATAAAAAATGGCAAAAGTAAAATAGTTAAGGTTTAAAAGTCACCACAATTTAGTAGCCCCAGACCTATAAATGGCCAGCCTGCAATATTGCACCATAAGTGTGCAGGTGGCAATAAGTGTATACATTTAGATCTTGTGCAAAGTCTTTTATCACATAACTAAGTATCACTCTTGTTAAGAATCATAGCTTTTTCTCTGTGTCTGTATTCATTTTGTCTTCCCTCCTAGTGACAATGCTATATGGATATGATGAATACGTATGTGTGGTTTTCAGCGGACTCCCAGTGGTATTTTGCTAACTATAAGGCAATTAATTATGTACGTTAATGGTCAGATTAGCCTTTGTGCTAATTCTGCATAATGTACACAGCTGTGTGGCTCCTATTTACAGACCACTGGCTGACTGAGTGTCTAAAAAGTAGGTGCTTGTGTCTCCAAGACAATGACATTGTGCATAGTATAAAAAGACGCATAGTGCACCCAAGACGGCAATCTCTGGGCATTTCACAGACTATTGTTTACAAGTGGCTTTTGTATGTTCATCCTAATGTTATACTTGTCATTCAAGATCCAGTTTTTGACATACACACTCACACACATCAAAATATATATAGGTATTCTTCTGTAAGTTAACTTTTCAAATAGTCATTATTTGTATCCATAACAGTGAGATTTATTTACTAAAGTCAAGTTTATTTTTTCAACTTTTTATTCCAATATTTTAGTTAATTTCACTATAATTCACCATATTTGTATATTTTCCAGTGAAACTGTATTATATGTGTACATTTTATGAACATTTATTTAGCATTGCACACGTGTACAAGTAGCGTTATACTTAAACATCATTATTTTTTTAGTAGATTGTGCTAATAATATGCTCAAATATAATTAACTAACCAGCAAGGAGTGAGTGATAATAGGAAATTTATTGAATTTAATTATTTTATTCTCTAAACCGAAAACTAAAGTGAATCGAAATTTGAATTACAGAGTTTAGAGTTTAGGCAAAGATTGTTTTTTATAAAAAATTTAAAGAAAAAGTTGCGACTCCAGCTAAGTTGGAGATTTTATTTTTAATCAGCTATTTTGGCCTACATTGTGACATTTAGAGGTTAATTCATAACAATGGTGACTTTAATAAATATAGCCTCAGTGAGGTGCCTCTGTTATGTCCCTTGAAATGCATCACTTCCAGCTGCCATTCTCTGTCCATGGTACTGACAGCTGCATTAGCCAATTCAAAATTATTGCTCTCACTACTCCCACCACCATAAAAATATGTCCATGGTGTTGATTAGCCCCAAAACACTTAGGGATTGAGGGAATGGCAAGAACTACAAACTCAAATCAATCTATTGTCCAGTCAAAAATAAACAAAACATAAATCAATAACCATAATGACAATAATGCAATATTGCTAGAAGCTATATAACATTAACTAAACCATAAAGGCATAACAGCTTACTTGCATATTACCTCAAAAGGCTGGTCACGTGTATCAAACATACCCCAACATTTCGGCACAAACACTAGTGCCTTTCTCAAGGGTCAATCACACTTACACATCCTCCCTTGGTGACTTTAAATAGCCCTCCTTACAGCTGATGGCCATCAGGGTAAATCACAAACGAGGCTGGGCATATGTTAATATCCACAAAACAATATTACAATATACAATATGACTACACACAGTGCTCAAGAACCAATAACCAATAAACATAATAACAGTGGTAAAGAAAACAAGTAAAATAAAATTCCTTCGGACGATATCGAACTCGGATGTGCGCACACGTAGCTGTTGGTATCCAGCGTCATCTTAAATCAGGGAAATCCCCATATAACAGCCAAAAACCATGCATGCGCCCAAAGGCAGCGCTCGGGGTTATTTGATTCGGCAAAACCAGGAGAATGTCAGTATTCCAAATGAAACGCACGCATGAGCCTTAAAGCCGTGCTTGCAGTTATATAGTTCAGCAAAAGCCAAACAAATGCAATCATATCAGGAACCCACTACTGCAAGTTTACTAAACTAAACGAAAATTATCAGAATAAACGAACGCATTTAAACTAACGTATTTGCAGGATACTGATTACTGATATGAATACTAATTATGTTATGCTAAAAGGAATCATATATACCATCTGACCAAAACTATAAAATAATAGATCATTAGAAAAATGGCCCAGATATACGACAACACATTAAAGGGCATTATTTACCAGTACGTTAAAATACATATATACAAAGACACACTGAAAGAAAAATTTACATCTAAAGTGTATAAATAAATCCATAACCAAAATAATCTAACCACCGCAGGGACAAGATTAAGATACCACTGTATAAGCCAGTGCACCTACAAACTGACCCCAAAGCAGAACTGCTCATAGCCTGTAGTCCTAATTATATGCCCTGACCCATCAAATCCATGCAGATACTCATACTCAGACATTATTCACAAAAATAAATCCTGTTGTATTGTCAATAACAGTCCATGTAAATAATTAGATATACCTGAAACATTACACTTAATATAGTATATAGTAATATAGTATATAGTAAATACACTTAATATAGTGTATTTATATAAAATTAATCATATGATCATGAGCCATGAGCAACCAGACAACAAAATATCCAATTATCACTGCTTAAGAAACTTTTATTTGGAAACATTTCCGTTACTATTTACAGATTACAGAAAGAACAATCCAGTATCCGGCATATCTTCAATCTCCAATGTCCAATCTTGAATATGCACGAGGTCTTCACTCACAGTACATATTGTAGCCATACAGATGCAACCACTTTTCCAGTGTACCACCTATTACCAAGAAGGATTAAAACAGCAATTAAAATAAAAAACTATGCACATGCTGAGGTCATAATTAAAACCTACAAAAAAGGTGAGAAAACTCTGTCTTCATTGAGAGTTCTCTCTGTCATAATCTGAGTTCACGTGAACCACCATGCAAGGGAGGATGTACCTTCTCAATAATCATATACCACAATTGTGCAACAGAGTGGCCAGCGTCCACAAAATGCCTTGCCATCAGATGCTGCAGTTTCTGTGTACAAATGCTACTCATGTTCACATATCCTCAGTGTGAATGCCAGAGTGGTCTCATCCACTATGGCCAGGCCACATAGGCATTTCAAAAGGTATACGACCCATTAAGATTTACAATTACAGTACTCCTTAACCAGATACCTCCTGCCAGTGCTAGGGTACAAAAAATGTGCACCCACTATAACACCATTACAGTTCACACACCCTCCACATTTATTCCAATGGCTACGCGTGTGCATGTGCGAGTTCGGTATCGGTGATTTTATCTTTATTTTTTTTTTCTTTACCACTGTTTGTTTATTATGTTTATTGGTTCTTGAGCACTGTGTGTGTCAATATTGTATGTGTTTTGGGGATATTAATCAAGCGAAATTGGGTATGATGACATCATGCCCAGCCTCGTTTGTGATTTACCCTGATGGCCATCTGCTGGAAGGAGGGCTATTTAAAAACACCAAGGGATGATGTGTAAGTGTGATTGACCCTTGAGAAAGTCAGTAGTGTTTGTGCCGAAATGTTAGGGCATGTTGGGTAGACGTGTCCAGACCTTTTGAGGTAATATGCAAGTGAGCTGTTTTACCTATATGGTTTAGTTAATGTTATATAACCTCTATCACTGATTAATTGCAATATTGCATTATTGTCATTATTGTCATTCATTTCTGTTTTGTTTATTTTTTGAGTCTACAATACAGTGATTTGATTTTTAAGGTGTGCATCATTTTGTATATAGATATAGGTGTTTTTGGAATTATGATTCTTTACAGCCTTTTTTCAATTGAATTGTTATAGTTAATAATCCCAAACTCGCCATGCTCACGTATCATGTTATTGTTCTGACTCAAGAGTCTACTGGTTTATTGCAATGTGTTTGGTATGTTACTTTCACCTTGCTATTGTGTTATACACACACACACACACACATATACATACACATATACGTATGGCCATTGGCGAGTGAAATTTTAATTTGCCAAGGACTCAGCAAACTGGCAATGTCAAGTAACTTTTAATATCTTGCTAGCGATGTAGGACTTGAAATTATTAGCCCTGTATACAGCATTTCAAATCATAGGGACTATGGGCAAACCTTTGACCCACACAGGAAAGCACACACGGAGAGAAGCTAACTAAATGCCTAAAGTTCCTCCTTCCTATCTGGATTTTTAGGTTTAAAAACTTGGGGATGCCGGCTGACTGAGGGAGGATTCAGTCCTATGTTTACCACTCCAGAGAGAATGAATAGCCATTTCCCATATCAGTCTTTCCACTCTGAATCTCGCCTTCAGTTACCCATGATTCTGTCCTTTTAAAATGTCATGCACATTGTAAGATGACAGGAGCCACACGGTGTACAGGATTTATTACCAACTTGCGTGCTGCTTAAAATTTTAAACGATGCAAGAAATGGGGAGAAAGAGAAATAGCTGATGGAAAAGAGATTGTTACAGAAAACGAAATTTGGCATGTGGAGTCATCCTTTACCTGCGAATTTGGACATGCCTCAGTGGGCTGTTCATAGGTAAGCCACTATCTATTTTTTGCTGGTCATCTGGCCAGCTCTAGGAAAGGTGGTGTGTGACCTAAGGACACTCAGATATGTTTCCTCCTACAAGTTGTGTTTTTTTTTTTGAAGGCAGTAGAGACCTGCCTTTGCTCCCATGAAGTACATTTTGTATGTTTGACCTTCATATGTCTCTTCTCGCAAAGACCTGTATTTACAACTTGACAGTTGCACCTCTAGACACCCTTTACTTTTATAAGAGAACAATATTGCTATGATGCGAATATTGAGTTGGGGAACATGACTATGGGGAGTGGGATACAGCAGTGTAATGCTATAGGAATAAGAAATGGAGGGGAAATATAAATATGATGGTCATAAAAGTTGGTAAATGGCTATGAATGATATGTTGACAGTAGATCCAGCTCTAGATAGTTGCCGATAGAGCACCAGGAAATACAAAATATAGATTTAAATGGGATATGGGAAAGTCAGCTAAAAGGAAACAAACAGCGGTGTGATGAATTTTGGGAAAGAGAGATATGTCTATAAAATGAGGGAACAGGGATTTAGGTTATATATCCATAGAAAGAGATATTCTGCACACATGTAGGGAATGCGGTTATGACAAAGATATAGCTGTGATTTTGGATCTGTGAACACATAGAAAAGAAGCTACAACCTGGACACAGGAGGCAATGAAATGGTTCACTAGACTAAAGTTCCAACAAGAGGGACAGAGTTTGGAAGGAAATGACAAACAGGCAAGCTTGTAAAAAGTTAGATTAAGGAGGGAAATGTCACAAAAACAATGTTAATCAAGCAAGGACATGTACATAGAGGGAAAGGGGTCACAAAAAAATGAAGATGTATATATTTTTGTCTCTTCTGTTAATCTTGTGGCACGCAGAGGAAAGAACCACAAAGGCTTACAAGGGTAAGGAAATTTCCCAGAATCAAACAGAAGTCTCACAAACAAACCGCAGTGAAATGCACAAATAGGAGAGAAGTACATTAATTAAAGGAGATTGTCTGTAAATAGTAACTAAGCCATACTATTAAAGCAGCACAGAAATGTTTAGCATTTTAGAATAATGAGTTAGATTTTGATGTCACTGGCTGCCCACATCTAAATTTCCTAGAGCCCAGGGGTTACACTGGAGCCCCATAACCATTAATTTGTTTGGCCCCATTAACCATCCTTAAGTGAAGAAAGGATGGAGGCAAACTGGGATTAGAGTCCTGCGGGATCTTAATTCTTTTCTGATGGAAAGACACTGACACACAGAATATGACATGGAAACACCGACAGACACTGACAAACAGAATATGTCATGGAAACAGTGATAGATATTAACACATACAGAATATGACAGAAACACTTTTAAACACACAGAATGTGACATAGAAACACTGGCAGACACTGACATAAGAATGTAAAATAGAAACATTCACAGACACTGACACACAGAATTTGACATAAAAACACTGACAAACACTGGCACACAGAATGTGACATGGAAACACTTTCAGGTACTGACATAGAGAATGTGTCAGGGAAAAAGTGATAGATACTAACATACACAATATGACAGAAACACTGGCAGACATTGACTCATAGATCGAAGCATAAACTTTCTGGTAGAGAAACAATGAATGTGACTCAGGAATGCTGATAGATAAAAAATAAGACATATAAACATTGTCAACCATTGGTATACAAAACATGACATATACGTATGGACACAGCCATCAAACGAGAGACAAAGGAGTGACAATGAAACACTGACATAATTTAGTATTCTGGTCAATAATTTCAGACGTAGTATATATTGGTGCTTTCACCGTCATTTTTTTTTTTTTTTTACCAAATATGCATAACTACTGGAGGTTTTGAGCAGAGGCTATCTTCTGATGTTGAATACGTTTGCTTCAGACCTGATGAAGAGAGGAAAACCCTTGAAAGCTTGTCTTTGAAATATTATTTAGTTCAATAAAAAAAGGTACCATTGCATTTTGCATACTGCAATACTCTAGTATTTTGGCTATATATACATAAATACATGCATACATGTAGTGAATTACATATCAGAAAAATACAATTAGCAAGTTTCACATTTAACTCAATTTAAAAAATCTTTTTTTATTGCTCTGGATCAACAAATGAAAGGGAGAATTTTCATTTATGTTTTACCACTAGAGGGCTCTCTAAGATCTCAAAAGTTCTCCATCCACTCCATTGCACATCCTTCCCAAAATGTACTGTGTATTTATCAAATCCTATCCAGGAACTGAGCTCATCTTTATAAAAAACAGAAATGTTAGGAACGGATCCATTTATAAAAACAAAGAAGAAGAATTAAAAAAAAAGCGAGAATAATAGAGGCATTGTGAATTGCATTCAAAATACACTTATCTTTAATATGACACTTTAACATCTATTTATTTGTTACTTTGGGTATTCTGAATACGTGGTAGAACTCGGTATTAAAAGTACAAGAAGAGTTCGTTTCATAGAAAGGGAAGGATTACATAAATGGCTGTTACTTTAAAATAGTAGCCTCAATATTTTGAACAACTGTTTTTAAGGGAAGGTATTCGTTCCTTGGAATAGATTTCTAGCTGTGACTTCAGTGGCAGAAATGAGTGCAGGAACATGCTTTGGACAGCCATTAATCAATTCAGGCTAAGAGGCTACTCAGACTAGGAACACGTGGCTATAACATATGCAGCAGATTTAATCAGTTATTTCATTTTTCAAGATTCCAAGCTCTTTGATTCTAAATATGCAACTATATACATTACACTGTCTCCATCACTGTCCATCGCTTTCTCCCTGATTAACCTTTTTTGCTTTCTTATCAAAAACTTTTTTCAATAAAGTAAAAAAAATAAAAAAATGCAAATATTATACTGACGGGAGACTAAAATAAACTGGATGACTGTTAAGGTAATAACATTCATTAAAATAAAATATAATCATTTAAAAATAAACCTTAACTGTTTAGAAAGGTTAGACAGTATTTCGTGACACCGTGATCTCCTACATCTCCTCTTTTTGACAGACGATCTTTTTTATAGAAATGCTGCTTACTCCCTTCCCCACCAAAGGATGTACACATGCACCCCAATATTTTAAATGGACAAAGAGGCACACTTTAAAATTGCTGCGTGAGTGTTATGTGATCAGGTGTGGGGCTGTTCTGAGTAATTTTAGGTGACTTACTAATAACAATATATGCAACTAAAATGTAATTAGAACAATAACAATGTATCTCTGTTACACAGACTAATTTCTATGCACAATTACGAACAGCATTACCGACTCACATTCAGCAGGGTAAACGGCGGAGATGGCTCAGAAACAGGCCAGGAAGCAGACTGAAAAATCAGCCTTCCTCACAGCCCAGACACCATTGCAAAAGAAATCTGCGGCACGTGGGGAAGCCGTGCAAGATAGCACTCTGGTAAGTGACTCGCAGCAAGGAGCTGAAGACATTCTCCAACACATGCTAGACACAATGTCTGATAACATACTAGGCAAACTAGATAAATCTCTCAAGGACTAGAGAAATATAATCTTGACTCAGGAAGCAGAACAGCACACACTGAGAAGAAAATAGATGGATTTGCTGATGTACATAATTATTTAGCATATAGACTACAGGAAATTGAGGCACAGATAGAACACCATAAAACTAAACTAAATAGCCTGGAATATAGGTCGAGGATGAACAACCTCAGAATTAGTCAGTGACTCAGGCCTCTTTACATGCCTTTCTGAGGAGCTGTTATATGTCTATAAACCGAAACACCTAGCAGACACTACCCCACAAGATGTGCTTTTTTGCATGCGTTTTTTTTACACAAAGGAAAATGTAAAAAAAGACCTTCAGCCTGAACATGCTGATATACACAGTTTTAGAGAACTATCTCTGCTCTTCTTAAACGTTGATAGAACTGTTGCAGGTAGTTACCAAAAATGGATTTACACTGGAGTCTTCCTCAGGCTGCATATCATTTTTGGGTTATCTCACTGAAATGGCCTGTTTTCAAAGTTGTAATAGCTTTGAAGACATGCCACACCCTGCTGTACCTTCTCAGGTACTCAACCCTAATGAGTAAAAATTCATTTATTCACTTTAGTGCTTAATTCAGTATTCTGGCTGCTGAAGAGGGACCTCATCAATTATTAGACTTTTTAAGCAACTAACATCTTCTGCACTTTAAAGTTTAGTCTATAAATCTATAATCTATAAAAACATGTATTGTCTGTTTATTGTTTTGTTTTTTAAAGTTTTATATCTGTTGCGCCTTGTGGGTGGCCTTCCCTTCCCCTATTTTGAGGAATTTATAAATATGTGTAAATATGCCCAAAATACTCAGTGTATAAATTCTAATTTCTGTGATGCAGATATATTCATATTATTATTAATATTATTATTGCCATTTACGTAGCACCAGCAGACTCTGTAGCGTTCATATAATGTTTGGGGTCTTTACCAATTATTCAACAGTGCACAACTCTTACTCTAGGATTGATGTCTTCTCACCACGAGCTCAGCACTGGAACAAATTTCAGTGTGTGTCATTGACATGGCGACATGGTCTGACCATGGCCAACAGTGTTAACTATCAAAGGCAGGTTTGAGTAAAAAAGAAGGGCCCGCTGGAACTTAATGAGTCGTTGTTGACAAGCCATGAATTTATTGTTAAACTAGAAACAAATTTGCAAACTAAGTTCCAATCTACTTCAACTCCAGACATCTCTAACTCCAGCTCGTGGGTTAGCTCAAAAATCCTTGTGTGTGGACATTTGATTCAACAGGCATCTATACTTAAAAGAAATCCCAAATAATGTTGTTGACAACTGTATGGTGTGTCCAGGTGTAACCAAATTACGCTATCTGCAGGTTTGCCAAGCCAAATCAAGGGTTTTACATCTAAAATCAATGCCCTTAACTTGCAGAATGTGGGTTATCAGTAAAAAAAAAAAAAGGAAAACCCACTCAATACACACAGGGTAGTAGAGCTAATACACATAAATACACATACAGAGCGGGGGGAGAAAGCTGGATTAGAGAGAAAGGAAAACAAAAAAAATAAGATTGAGAGAAGGGTCGAAAGGGTTGTGTTACATCAGGCAATAATAGTAGCTCTGTGACTGTCAAATATACATTGAGGTGATAAGAAAAGCTAAGCGTTCTATAAAGGAAATAGCTGGCAGACAGAGACAGTGGTCTGGGAGGCAAGAGCAAACTAATAGCCATTCTTGTTCAGAAACTCACAGATCTCTGTGTGATTGGTCCTACTCCTTCTGTGCAATCTCATTATAGGCTGTCAGACAGGTCTGCCTCAGGAGCTATAGTCTCTCAGGAAATAACCCAGTGGGCTAGTCAAGGCCTGCAAAACATGGAGATTGCAGGCTACCACCCCGTATACAAACCACAGAGTGATGGGCTAGCAAAGGGCCAGCACCAGTCCCGATTGCTGCCTCTCTCCTACAGTACCATGCCAACAAACTTCTAGTAGCATTTAATCATCAGAAGGTGGTGCTGTCAAGCTGCAGTCTTCAAAATCGTTATACTAGAGACCTGTAGGGTAATAGCCCCCTTGCCATGATCTTGTATATTTTGAACTTTGCTTATGAAAATTGTAGAAGACATATAGCTCTGATAAAAAGAGATTTGTACTGGATATATTGGCCAGAATTAAAAGACAACAACAAAGCATTTTTAATCTTAGCTATTAAAATTCCTTTATTCACTTTAGACCTTAATTCAGTATTATGGCTGCTGAAGAGGGACCTCGTCAATTATTAGACTTTTTTAAGCAATTGACATCTTCTGCACTTTAAAGTTTAGTTGGTTTAACCTTGATTGCTATAACATTCTATAAAAGTTCTTCATGGCATTGTTACAGACAGTTACAATGCTTTCCTCATGCTCAAACGAGTCCCAGGTAAGTACTATTTGAGTGTGGAAATTCTATAGGGATATCTTAGAATTCCAGGACAGCTGGAGACTTGCCTCTCCCTGCAAAGCTCATTTAGTGAATTATTATCCATGTGTGAGTTTAGGAAAGGAGCAATCCTTCACCCAAAAAAAAAAATATTAAGTTACATTTAAGCTGTCTCCTTTGCGGAGAAAAGTGTCTAGTCAATGGCAGGAAAGGCTGTTTTCCAAGCTGGGGGTAAAGTAATCAAAGAAACTGAGTCATGTGATAACTTGTTCAGAGAAGAGACAAGGTATCACATTTGGAACCAATATGTTTTTATCTGGTCTCGTCTCCCCCACTCAAATATTCAAACACAAGTTACAAAGTTCTAGTTTGACGTCAGTGTGGAAAAATCTGCAGGACATACTATGTTAGATTATATGCTATCAGGATATTTAAGATGCATGCTTAAAGGGGTACTCTAAGCAGCATAAACATTACAATTCACTGTTGTGACTATGGTACAATGAGTCTTTTTGAAGTTCATGGATTACTAACAAGTTTTTAAAAATCAAGGTCTCTAGAGTACAAAAACAAGTCACAGTTTAATGGCTTTCTGATATTGGCTGTTTATGAACCTAAGTTTTAATCCTGTAATTGTAGGATTGGTCTGGGTCTTTGACTCCCTATGAGTTAAAAGGTTAACCTGTGTGTAGTAGACTTACTTGCTCCAGGGCCTTTAAGGGTTAATACTGTCTGGGGTAGTGGTACTAGAGGGCATCCAGGCTTTGAGTTGTGGGCCAGTATTATAGTGTGATGGCTGTAGGGACAGTTGCAGTCTGTTGCAGTGCTCTGGGGGTGCCTATTTGTGGTAAAAAAAAAAAGATAGAACTCTTAGGCTTTGTGGATTTTAATCATGTTATGTCACAGACATATACATAAAGGAAATTAACACAGTAAAGGAGGAGACTATATTTAAAAGAAGAAAAACTACCACAACAAGAGGGCATAGTCTTAAATTAGAGGGGCAAAGGTTTAAAAATAATATCCAGAAGTATTACTTTACTGAGAGGGTAGTGGATGCATGGAATAGCCTTCCAGCTGAAGTGGTAAAGTTGACACAGTGAGGGAGTTTAAGCATGCGTGGCATAGGCATAAAGCTCTCCTAGATATATGAGACTAATGAAAGTATTGGGCAGACTAGATGGGCCAAATGGTTCTTATCACATTTTATGTTTCTAACACCCAATAAAAAAGATACTGTTTTGTTTTTTTCTGGAGACTAGACTATGTGAGATCTATAGCAAACCATATTCCCACTCAATACAAAGATTTTTATTTGAGGCATTTGGAGAGTGACAAAGGGGAAAGGAAGCATTGGAAGATTTACTGAAAATATCATTATTTTGCAAGAGGATTATTTGTTTTCAAGAAAGTGGAGAATCAATGTACAGACCATCTCCTAGCCCTTTTCCTGGCTATCTTTCATCTGGATGATCATACTCCAATCCAACCCCCTACTATAAATTTGTGGTTTGTCAACAACGACTCATTACGTTCCAGCGGGCCTGAGGTGAACCCTGAAAGCTGTATAGCCTACATACAGGGAGTGCAGAATTATTAGGCAAATGAGTATTTTGACCACATCATCCTCTTTATGCATGTTGTCTTACTCCAAGCTGTATAGGCTCGAAAGCCTACTACCAATTAAGCATATTAGGTGATGTGCATCTCTGTAATGAGAAGGGGTGTGGTCTAATGACATCAACACCCTATATCAGGTGTGCATAATTATTAGGCAACTTCCTTTCCTTTGGCAAAATGGGTCAAAAGAAGGACTTGACAGGCTCAGAAAAGTCAAAAATAGTGAGATATCTTGCAGAGGGATGCAGCACTCTTAAAATTGCAAAGCTTCTGAAGCGTGATCATCGAACAATCAAGCGTTTCATTCAAAATAGTCAACAGGGTCGCAAGAAGCGTGTGGAAAAACCAAGGCGCAAAATAACTGCCCATGAACTGAGAAAAGTCAAGCGTGCAGCTGCCACGATGCCACTTGCCACCAGTTTGGCCATATTTCAGAGCTGCAACATCACTGGAGTGCCCAAAAGCACAAGGTGTGCAATACTCAGAGACATGGCCAAGGTAAGAAAGGCTGAAAGACGACCACCACTGAACAAGACACACAAGCTGAAACGTCAAGACTGGGCCAAGAAATATCTCAAGACTGATTTTTCTAAGGTTTTATGGACTGATGAAATGAGAGTGAGTCTTGATGGGCCAGATGGATGGGCCCGTGGCTGGATTGGTAAAGGGCAGAGAGCTCCAGTCCGACTCAGACGCCAGCAAGGTGGAGGTGGAGTACTGGTTTGGGCTGGTATCATCAAAGATGAGCTTGTGGGGCCTTTTCGGGTTGAGGATGGAGTCAAGCTCAACTCCCAGTCCTACTGCCAGTTCCTGGAAGACACCTTCTTCAAGCAGTGGTACAGGAAGAAGTCTGCATCCTTCAAGAAAAACATGATTTTCATGCAGGACA